TCTCTCTCTCTCTCTCTCTCTCTCTCTCTCTCTCTCTCTCTCTCTCTCTCTCTCCTTTCTTTTTTCTCGATACAGAGTTTCTCTGTGTAGCCCTGACTATCCTGGAATTCTCTGTAGACCAGGCTGGCCTTGAACTCACAGACATCCAACTGCCTCTGACTCCTGAGTTCTGGCTATAACACACCTTTAAAAAGGGAAGAAAAATGAAGAATAAGTAACAAAAATATCAGGTGCTAATTTATGCTAGCTCACACTAGCTTTGAGGCCCCACCTACGACGGCCCCCTGGAGTGAGTGGTGGGAGGAGCCCTAAGCTGTGAAATTCAAGGGAAGTGGCAGCTCTCTTGTGTGAGACCCTGCAGCCCTGAGCTAAATGTGGCAGAGGGCAGCTATTAACACGGCCCAACACAAAACTGTAAATGTATTTACATGATGAGATTTTAATTCTTTTGGTAACTATTGCGAGGTTCTCTAGCATGAACTTTGTAGTCGACAATATCATGTCTCAATGTCGAAACGTTGGACACGCCTGGATTAGGCATGCCAGGGGTTGGAGGTGGAGGGGATCCCATACATCCAGATCATAGATAAGGGGTTATATACCCCCCAACCAAGCCTGAGGAACGAGGTGGGGCAGAGAGCTGACTCCCGGTGTGCAGGCAGGAAAGGATACCGGCGCACACCTCTGCCGCCCAATACAAGGCGGGGAGCAGGGAGTCAAGGACTGTGGAAATACCCTCTCCTCTGCTGAGACAGAGTCACCACTGACAGGGTAGGGCTGGGGTGGGGTAACACATGGCGGGGGAGCACTAGGTAGTATCCGGGGTGGATCACGGGAGGGTGTGAGCAGGTGAAACTGGGTGGGTGAGCAAACCTCACCCTGACAGTTTGCGCGGGGTATTTGAGGGCTTGCCCTTTCAAGAAGTCGCCACCAGGAGGCGCCGTCTGGAGAACTTGAAAGGCCGTGGAGCTGGGAGAGGAGACCTGAGGTGGACGTTTGTCTTCCTCCGAATTTTACGGTTCCTGGCGAGGAAGGTCAGCAGGGCACAGGGCTCCCAAACGGACCTATGATCTTCCCTTCCCTTCCAGAGATCCCGTGGGACCCAGGATTCTGCCGATCGCAAGCCTCTGCAGGCGCCGCTCACTCAGCCTCTTTGGTGGCCTGCCTGAACGGTTGCGATCTCTCCTCAGACTGTCCTGCCCTCTCTCCCAGTCTCTTCACACTCAACCCCAGCGATGCTGTTTGCTTGTACGTTCTCTGCACGATACCTCACCACACTGTCGGCAGGACTCACCTGTCCCCAGGAAGCTGGGGACTTCTCTTCCCTCCCTGCCAACTCCACTCCAACTCCTTAACGGTCGCCTTGCAGTTTGTACCCTGTGACCAACTTATTCCCTGCCCAGGACCCTTGCATCCTCTGTTCTTCACATTGGCCCTTCCCTCAAGGCAGCTGCATGGCTCCTTCCTCCGTGTATTCAGGTCTCTGGTCACTCTTTTTTTGTTTGTTTGTTTATTTTTTGGGACAAGGTAGTCCTGGCTGTCCTGGAACTCACTCTGTAGACCAGGCTGGCCTCGAACTCACAGAGATCCGCCTGCCTCTGCCTCCCAAGTGCTGGGATTAAAGGCGTGCGCCACCACTGCCCGGCTTCTCTGCTCACTCTTGCCTCCCGAAGTGACTGCTTCACTAAAATGCCTACCTGGTCGGGATGCTCTGGACTTTTGCACAGTGCCCTTTATGATGTATTATATGTTCATTTATGCATCTTGTGTGGGGTCTGTCCCCCTACTGGTGTTGGGAGACAGTTAGGGACCGTGTTTGTTGTGCTCATGGCTGAGGCCCTAGTACTCGGCTCATGCCTGGTATGTGCTGGGAGGTGGAAGAAAGAGCATGGATTCAAGGCCAGCCTGTGCTACACAGTAATACTTCATCTACAGAAAACATGGGGGAGGCGCATAACTCAGTGGCAGGGCTCCTGTCTCAATGGTTTTCCTCTGGCCTGCATCTGAGGCACAAGTAGATTCCCACACCCCAGTGTACCAGAAGAAACTGTAATGTAACAGATTTTTTTTTTCTGTTGTTTTTTGAGACAGGGTTTCTCTGTGTAGTTTTGGTGCTTGTCCTGGATCTCGCTCTGTAGACCAGGCTGGCCCTGAACTCACAGAGATCCGCCTGGCTCTGCCTCCCGAGTGCTGGGATTAAAGGCATGTGCCACCACCGCCGCCCGGCTATGTAACAGATGTTTAATGACGGGATTTGGGGGTAAAGGAGAGAGAAGAGGTGAGGATAGTTGGGGTCCCTTCCTGAGCAGGGCATGTGTGTCTGGAATGGCGGGGCAGAGGGACATAGCTAAGGAGATGAAGCCTGGCCTGCCGGTACCATAGCCGTCTAAGGCCTTGGACAGGGAGCCTGTCCCTCACACCTGCATGTGCCTGGCCTCACTACCTTTTCTGTGTCCCGGCCATTTTCAGTCTGCCCTGTGTGAGAGCACAGAACAGCCCAGACAGTGAGAAGGGGAGAGGGGAGCCTTGGGGACAGCCTGGACCTCAGAGCCTCTGCCAGTCAAAGGAGGAGGCAGACATGTCAGCCCGGCCCTGATCCAAAAGGGTGGGGTGGGCGGAGGAGGAAGGAAAACAGTGGCCTGCAGCTCTCCCCCAACTCACAGGGGCAGGGCTTGGTCCCCAGGGCCCGGGAACAGCTGAGCAAGGGTCTTCTTCTTGCTCAGTCTCCTGTATGGGGAGGGATGGGCTGGAGCGAGGCCCCTGAGAGCCACTCAGGGCACCAGATGCCGCTGCCCGGGTAGGGAATCAGGGATCCCCAGGGGAAGGAGCAACAGGCAGGGAGGACACCCATGCCTGGGACGCCCTGGAGGCAGGGCTGCTGTGTTTGCACAGAAAGTTCAGTCTCATCCTGTCCCTGAGCCCCGTCACTCCAGAAGCAGCCATGATGGGTCTTTTGAACCTTCTCATCCAATCAGCATGCTTAAGGTGTATTAGAATCCCTTCCGGCCTGCAGGACACCAGCAACATTAAAAACCACATGTTCCTCACCCTGGCTTCCATCAGCACCTGACATATCTATGTTCTCCCTTTCCGAAGCTCCTCCTTCTGCCAGGGAGAGGTGTCGGGACTCTTCCTCACCAGACACCTTCATCTGCAGCTTTGAAGCCATTGCCTTGAATAACAACGGACACAACTGACCCCCTGTTGTCCCTCAAGTTGACAAGGGGTTTCCTGTAACAGTGAACTTGACACAGTGCACCCTGTGGGTCTGATCCTGCAGGGAGATGACGTCAGCATGGAAACCTTAAGCACTGCAGGAAGGATACCTTCAGACCTGCGTCATAGGATTTGAAGGAGCCCCAGGAAGAAGTCCCTTGCTCTGAGGTGAGGAGGTGGCCCCTGCCCTAGGGGAAGAGATGACTATGGCCTCTGAGAGTCTTCCTGGGAATACAGTCCCCCTGGAGGCCATGGTAGTCTGAAGGGTGTAGGCCTTTCCAAGTTCTGGTTTTGATCAGAAAAGGGAGAAATCATAGCTCAGGACAGGTTCCTAGGTTCCTATCCTGATCTCTCCCACTCCTTCAGGCTCCTCAGAACTCCCAAGACATTCTGTTCTCACTGTGTTCTCCTGGTCCAGGCAAGCCCCCCGGCCTTGGGTGTGGACATAGACGTCCGAGACAGGATACCTAAGGGTGATAAGAGCAGTTAATCCCAGCACAATAGGATCACACACATTTGTTGAAGGAGCAAATGATGGCGTCTGCGTCTTGCCTTTTCTGTGGACACGTCTGCCTCCCCGGCATTTGGGATGGGTGTTTGGCCTTTCCCTTCCCCCAGCACCTGTTACTTCCCTCATGGGTATTTGTGGAGTACCCACTGTGTGATGGACTGTACTGTAGACAGGGAGGGGCAAGACAGACCCCTACCAGAGGAACTTCCGGGGGTACAGAAGGTTGGGACACCCATGGGGATAGGAAGATAAGGGACCACAGGTGTTACCCATGGTGTGAGGGGGCACAGGGCTCCGGAGACTCTTAGGGACGTCACATCCAACTGTGGAAGTGGAAGTGAAAGAGAGGCAGGCGAGAGCCACAGAAGCAATGGTTTAGGGCTGGGAGCAGATGGTGGGCAGGAGCCTGCCTGTACTGCAGGCTAATAGAAGCCTGGAGCCAGGCCCCGAGTGGCAGTGTCCAGGCAGGATGCAGGAGGGGAGTCTGTGCCGGGGGTGGGCGGAGGTGTCAGGGGCATCTGGACCCTGTGCACTGAGCCTGAGGCAGTATGCGGAGCCAGGCTCACTTGGGTCTGATTAGCATGTGCCACAAAGGGGTGGGTTCAAGTTGAAAGGCTTTGTCTGGGACACAAGGTCTTGGGTGTCAGGCCTCTACAAAGGTTCTGTCCCTAGGCCATGAACTTCTGAGGGGGAAGGGGCTACCATCCCCATGGATTCTGTTTCTCTCCCCTGACCCTGCCATCTGGGGTTCGGGAGGGGCCTCAGGGATAAAGTCGTCTTTTTCTTTCAGGAGAGGTTTGCGGGCTGGGGGCCACCCTTCCCTTCTAGACCTCTTCCTTTGCAAAATCCCATCTGCCAGGGCAGCCTCTGACCCCCAACTTCTCCCCGGGAGTAGGCAGAAGATGGGGGAGGGGAGAGCCTCCCCCCACAACCCTAGGGGAGACACAGCCTCTCCTTCTAGCCCATGCCATCTGTCCCCTCCTGCTTTGGCCACCTGTTCTGTGTATCTAGGCAGGGCCACCCCCCCTTGATGAGCCTTGGTCTCCCCACGTGCTGAGTCTGGCTTTCCCGGATGTGAGCGGCTTGTGATCACCACCCCCATGACCCAGCAGTTCCGTTGGTAAACTAAGGTTTGTCATTTGAGCTTTGCGCTGCTTTCTTTAAGTAGGATTTACTTTAATGATTATGGAAGCTCGGAAAATGCAGAACTAAATATCATCTGCCACAGTTTAAAAATAAAGGAATGGGCCAGTGAAGCAGGCCAGGTAGCAGAGATGTCCTAGCATGTCCTGGGGTCCACGTCCAGCACCATATAAACTGAACATGCTGGACAGTTTTATGTCAACTTGACATAAGCTAAAGACATCTGAGAGGAGGGAGCCTCAACTGAGAAGATGCCTCTGTAAGATTGGCCATAGGCAAGCCTCGCCTGTAGAGCATTTTCTTTACTAGCGATCAATGCGGAGGGCCCAGCCCATGGTGGGTGGTATCATCCCTGGACTGCTGGTCCTGGGTTCTATAAGAAAGCAGGCTGAGCAAGCCATGGGGAGCAAGCCAGTAAGCAGCTCCCCTCCATGGCCACTGCATCAGCTCCTGCCTCCAGGTTCCTGCCCTGTTTGAGTTCCTGTCCTGACTTCCTTCAGTAACGACTACAAAATGTAGGCACAAGCCAAATAAACCCTTTCCTCCTCACGTTGCTCTAGCCATGGCATTTTATCATAGCAATAGTGACCCTAACTAAGACAGGTGGCTCTGGATTTTGGACATTCTCCAAAACTCATCCAGGAACACTGAAAAGCCAGTGAGTTTTATTGCATGTACAATTCACCTCAAAACTACATTTTAAAGAAGAAACAAACAAAGCCATGCCCAGTCAATAGTGACATCTAAAACTCAGCTCTTCCCTGGTACTAGTCACAGTTCAGTCTAAAGAACCGTGCAAGGCGGTGACTGCTGTGGGGACAGATGCAGTCTTCCATCCTCACAGAATGTTCTAGAGAGTAGGCCTCGTGTGATGCTTAGAGCTTAAAAATGCGTACCCTTCCCTCACCTGCCTTGGGGACTCACTGGGTCTGATTAAGATGTCTTCGCCTCTTCTTCCTCTCAGCTTCGTTTGTGTGGGCTCGTAACTACAGGGCCATTTCAGCTGCCACCTGGTACTTGGGCAGGGGAGGTCTCAGGTGCCTGGTGCCTCCCCTAGAGAAACTTCCCAAAGAACAGAGACCGGAAGAAAGGGTCAGAAAGCAGAGTTCAGGAAAGGACAGTAGGTCCCCAGGAAGGTAAGGAGGGCCACTGGGGGTGTCTAAGGTGCTGGGGTCTTGAGATTTAAACTAAGATGAGTTTAAGGATAACATACTTTCTATATTTAAAATTCCTGTGCTTGGGCTGGGGAGAGGCCAGATGTTAAGAGCACTTGCTGTTCTTCCAGAGGACCCGAGTTCAGTTCTTAGCACTGACATTAGGCAACATACAACTGCCTATATGCCCAGCTCCAAGGGGTGCAAAGTTCTCTTTGGGCCTCCTCAGGCACCCATGTACATGGCATATATACACACAGACTCGGTCACATAAGTAAAAAACGTTCAGCTTTTACTTTTATTTTATGTGTATGGGTGTTTGGCCTGCATGTCTATCTGTTCATGACCCGTGTGGCTGGTGCCTCAGAGGCCAGAAGGTGTTGTATCCCCTGAAACTAGAGTTACATGTGGGTGCTAGGAATTGAACCTGGATCCTCTGCAAGAGCACCCTGTGCTCTTAGCTGCTGTAGCCCAATAGAAATAAATCTTAAGGATGGGAGAGGTGGCTCAGTGGTGAAGAGCATGCACTGCTCTTCCAGAGGACCTGAGTTTGATTCCCAGTACTCATGTTAGGGGGCTTGCAACCACCTGTAACTCCATCTTCAGAGAATCTGAGGCCTTTGGCCTCCTTAAACACCTACACCCATGTACATATCCCCCCCCACACAAGTATATATACACATAGTTAAAAAGTAAATAAATATTTAAAAAAAGAAATAAATCTTAAATAAATAAATAATGAAACTCTTGGACTTGCAAATTCAAACCTCATCTCTGCCTTTGCAGCGTGAAGTTTCCAGGAGCAGGGGGCTGCTGGGACCAGCTCCCTTTGAGGCTCAGACACATTTGTTCCTCCTTTCCTCACGCTCCTCAGCTGCCATCCTGCCCCTCATCTCCCTGAGGACTGTTTGCTGAGAGACAGGGATCATTCTGCCTTGGCATCTGCCTCAGCTGCCTCCAGTCCACACATGCATGTTCTCAGATAGGTTTGAGGAGAATCAGAGGACCCCCAAGCAGGTGCTTTGCATAATCCTAGCAAGGACTGGCTCTTGGTATCCCCCTAAGTTCCCATGGCAAGGCCCTAACCACCCAGTGTGATATCACTTGGAGATAGGTCCTATAGGAGATGTTTAGAGTTAGATGAGGTCATGAGGATGGGACCTGCAGGGTGGGACTAGTGGCCTTATCAGAAGAGCAAGAGAGGTTCCTTAGGTCCCACACCGATATGGCCGCATACTGCATTTTCTGGATACGTAGGTATCAATGCCATAGCCATTGATAAGTGTTAGTGTCAGTGACCATGGTCCAGCCTTCAGATTTGACCCTGGGAAGTGACCCTGAGAGCCCTGCTGCCTCATTCACCAGTCCCATTGTCATGTGGCCAGGCAACTAGTCATGTTAGCAGAGATCAGGAGAATCACCTGGTACCTGGGCAGGGCAGGGTAGGTCTCAGGTGTAGGGTACCTCTCCTAGAGAAACTTCCCAGTCAAAGAACCAAACAGACCAGAAGAAAGGGTCAGGGGCCTTGGATGAAAGCCGAGTTCAGGGAAAGGGCTGTAGGACCCCAGGAAGGCAGGAAGGGCCACTGTGAAGGGGTGGGAAAGACCCGGGGTCTGAACCCATTGAGGCTCCACCTCCTCAGGCCACAGAAGAAGAAATCACTACATTCTAATATTGAGGGTTTAACCCTGTAGTCAGTCACAGGCTGTTTGGTGTGGCCCCGAACTCAGGGCGGGTGTTTAAGATATCTATCTGCATCCGTCACCACGATTTTACCTTTTATCTACTGTCAGCGTTGGGCCAGGAAGACAGGCAGTTAGTTGTGTTTACTGTTCACCCTTTAGCTGTCTGGCCAGTTTAGGACCACAAGCTGCTCTTCTGCTTTCTATTTTTAACTCAGCTGTGACTAGCAGTTGGAGGAATGCTCACTGAACTGTTAGCATTTGAGGGCTGGTGAGGTGGTTCCGTTGGTAAAGTGCTTTTGTGCAAGAATGAGGACCTGAGTTCGATTCTAAGCACCCTCTAAAAAAAGACCTTGTCTCAAAAAACCGAGTGGATGGATCTCGAGGATCCACAGAGGTTGACTTCTGCAACTTTATTTCTTTATTTTTTTTTCATAAAAATATCCTGGAAAATAATGTTTATATTTATGTATTTATAAAAGGTAATACATTTTAAAAGGCACAACATTCAAAAGATACTGATGGGTAATCTTCAGGGTGGACTTGAATGAAGGTAGAATCACTGTAGGATGATTGGTAATACAGAGTGGACTGGTTTCTAGGGACAAATGAAATGAGCATATATTTTGATTTCAGGAAGTGCTGACCCTGGAGGAATTTGAATTTTTGCCAAGTGGCTTCTTTATTTTTTTAATAGAATTTTGTCTTATTTAATCTTTTTATAGAAAAGATAACACATTTTGTTTGTATTTCCTACAATCGCCTTCTTGTTTACAAGACATTTTTAGTCTCCTCTTCCAATTTACTCAACGTTGCCTAGCATTCTGGTTCTAAGTCATTCACCAGTAATGTTATTTTGATGCAATACAGGAGCTTTGCCAAATACAGCTGTTTTCAATTAGCCTTTGGATTAATCCTCACAGGCACAGGACCACACGACACCCAGCTGCAATCAAGGGAGGTGAGAACGGAAGTCTTCACCCTTTTCCCTTTTTCAAACCCTCATCCATAAGATAAGAAACAAGGTCATTTAATTCTGAGGTTTTTTTTTTTTTTTTTTTTTTTTTTTTTTTTTT